GGAAGGAACGAGTTAGAAAAGGTCGACCCTAAAAAATGTCATACCTCACCTTACCTCACGGGTTTCCGTCTCTAGCGGTAAGGCTTTTTGAAGAACGGAGCTAACATATTCAAAACCTCCCACAAAAAGGCCGTGCGCGACCGGCCTCTAGCAGTTGTCCCTTGGGTTCTGCGGTCACGCTTCCAAGTTGTGAAGGCTAACATTAACTCAACGTCCTTTTCAGGTTCCTCAAGAGGTCGGTTGCGGCCCGGATGGCTCAATTGAAACGTCTCTGACTGCGAAGCTGGGTGACACGGGATCGAATCCGCCACGCAGCACCAGTTCCCTCAAGATTACAGGTACACCCTGCTGACGAGTGCCAAGTAGCATGAAACCCGGGTTCAGGGTGTCCTGTCGACTACCTCCAATCACCATCTAATCTAAATACCCCTCCACGGTGTGGGCAGCCGGGAAGTGACATCAGCCCTCATACCCGTAACAGCACACGAGACCAAGTTGGTCACATTCAAATCCTTCCTACACCAACTAATACCTCACTTATCTCCACGACTAACCCTTCTCACGTCCCTTTATCACCTTGCACATCTGAGACAAACGATTTGAGTACGCGGATCGTTATTCCTTGTCCCATGAAACCACGCTCTAAACTACACGTAGGAGCTTTTAACGTCCGAAAAATGTGCTAAATAGGACAACAGGCTTGCTGTTAGCGAAACAATCTCAGAGAAAGATGGATATATTATTCATTCTCAATTCAGGAGATTGGATCGATGGGCAGAACACTTCAGGGATCAGTTCAACTGGCCTTCAGCTACACTTCGTTTACCCACGATCTCCAGTCAACCTGAATGGAAAGTTAATGCAGGTCCTCCGACTCTTTACGAAGTTGAAAAAGTTATAGGAAATCTGAAGCGTGGGAGAGCAGCAGGCCCTGACAGGTTTACTCCTGAGATTTTTAAGGATGGTGGTCCAGTATTAGCAGTGAGATTAACTGAGGTCTTAGGTAGAATTTGGGAACTGGACGTAATCCCATCTGACTGGTCTCAATCACTGATTGTGCCAGTCTATAAGAGAGGACAAAAGTCCTCTTGTGACAATCACAGAGGAATCAGTTAGACAAATATAGTGTCTTAAATATTAGCTTCAATAATACTTCGACGCCTAACTAAAGGTCGTGAAGAGCAGACTAGAGAAAACCAGGCTGGTTTTCGACCTGGACGTGGTTGTATAGACCAGATATTAACTCTACGTCAGGCTCTAGAACATAGACACACATTCAGATGCCCCACAATCGTAGTATTTCTCGACCTTAAGGCGGCATTCGACTCTGTTGATCGTGAGGTTCTATGGCAGTGTTTGTCACTGAAAGGAGTACCAAAGAAGTACATTAACCTTGTAAAGGCTCTCTACTCGAACACAACTGGTCGAGTGGAAGCTTATGGCGAACTGTCATCAGAATTGATTACCTCAAGTGGTGTTCGTCAGGGCTGTCCACTCTCTCCACTCTTGTTTAACTTTGTCGTTGACGTGCTTTCAGAGATGACACTTTCCTCATCTAAATTTCCTGGGGGTGGTGGACTTCTACCGGGAGATTCACTTGTTGACTTAGAATATGCAGATGACGTAGTTCTATTTGGTGAAGTCTTCTGACCACTCTAAGCAACAATGCAAGCATGTTCGGGATGCGATTCTCTCCCTCAAAATGCGAAATGTTACTTCAGGATTGGGTTACATCGACACCCGAACTAGTGATAGGGAGTGAAGTAGTTGAGTGTGTCGACCGCTTCACTTATCTTGGTAGTCTCATCAGCCCTTATGGTCTGGTGTGTGACGAAATCTCAGCACGGATACAGAAGGCTCGACTAGCTTTTGCCAACTTGCGTCATTTATGGCGTAGGCGAGATATCCGTCTATCAACCAAAGGACGTGTTTACTGCGCATCAGTTCGTTCCGTCCTACTTTATGGCAGTGAAACATGGACGGTAAGAGTAGAGGATATTCGTAGGCTACTAGTATTCGATCATAGGTGTCTTCGAAACATTGGTCGTATATCCTGGAACCACTGAGTACGGGATGCAGTTGTTAGGAAACGGGTACTAGGTAAGGATGGCAAATCGGTTGATGAAGTAATGAAACTTGGTATGTGTAGACTACCTGGTTGGGGACCGCGAGATGATAGCAACCGATGGTTAGAGACCTTGAATGACACGGCTCAAAGTCGTTTGCAATGGTGCAGGTGCATCCACTCTTTGTGTTCTCCCAAATCTTAATCTTCTGAATTATTCATGTCCTTTTTTACTCTTTCCGAATTTATTTCACTAGATTATACTCCTTGAATAACATCTTCAAACCCTAATCTTTCCGATTACTGCTTATACTCTTACCACTTCTACCACTACGGAATTTGACTCGGCAACTGCATCTCTGTGCTAATGTGGTGTGGCAACTCGAACTGATGTACGTACGTACGAAGTTCTACCTTGTTACTGACTGACTGATTGAATTTCACTTTCAGGTACCTCTAGAAGAACCGTTCTACGGTGTAAGCGACGAGGAAATGATAACTGCCCTCACTACTCTAACAGCACTTAAAACTACTCTATTTACCGATAACTTTACTGTCAATGTATGAATACACACCAGTCTTAAGTAATATGTCAATTATTAGTGTTTCATTCCTAGATTTTATTTCGTTTCAAAATCATTTGCATTGGCTATGGTATAATAATTGTTATAACGCTCCGATTCACTTCGTCTACACGTATGGGACGTTAATTTACCTTAGACGAATATCTACACTAGATTCCTTCTCAGTGTCTATTCTACAGGACTTCAACACAACTCAGATCAAGAACACGTGATTAGCCTGACTAGAACGTAAATATATTTCCACACCAAAAACTGACAACAAGCCGACACAACCCAACTGCAATCAGCAATCAGTAATAATAATAATAATAATAATAATAATAATAATAATAATAATAATAATAGGGATAGGGAAATATATAACTCATCTAACACTTGTCAGATTATCTACATGTCTGACTGAGCAAACAACCAATGAATATCATTGTCGCCCACATATTAATAATTCATATATATTAATTGTTTACATTTTTTTACTGATATTTAAAACTGCGATTCTCTCTTTTGAGTTGCATACATGCTGTATGGATTAAATCATATTAAATAGAGTGGCTAGCAGCGGAATACAGGATGCGCATTTTGTCCTATTTGGGAGTGGTTAGCTGCACTCGTAACTGCACTCCAGAGTTGGTGTATATACATCAACATCAACACTGGTTTGCAGGTGCATTCACTTAACAAGTATCAAATATGACGGAACGACGGTCTTGGAATCCATTGCTAGCCACCATCCATCTTTGCTTAAAATGTTTATAATAATACTATTCACTATAACTGTCCGCATTTGCATATAATGATAAGTCCCTAAATAAAATACATTCATTTTACTCTCCCAACCTTGTTGTTCCTGATTTTCTAATTTATCTACTATTCATGTTATAGTAAGTATTAAAAATAAGTAATTGAATTATCTGAAGGAACAGTTTAAAACATCCCTTCAGACTTCTTTTTTAAATATACTACAATGGCGTGGGGATTTTGTGGAGAGTCGTTTAATTTGTCACGAACTGACCTTTACGGAGGTACTATTGAAAACCAGAGACCACTGGACAACTGTTTCGTTCTAGTATTTGAATCCTAAACAGTGTTCAGTCAAAATAATTTCATATTAGTGGGTAATTATAACTTTACTGTAAATTTACTAACATGTTCTATATTTGATTTGAACAGAAAAACAAAGAAGCCATGACAAACAATGGAAGCTATTTTTGAAGACGTTATTTCATTTAATTCAAAGCTTGTAAAACACTAACATTTCGTTTTTTCGCTAGGTTACTATACAAACCATAAGGTTTTGTTTGATATATGATGCACTGTTATACGCTGTTCTGTTCCACAGCTATTGTAATTTAAACATAAGCTTTGGTACTCTATTTTTCCACCCTAATGCTCAGCTTGGATATAATTGTATTTTTATAATTGTTTGAGTTGTAGTCGTATTAGTCATCTATCTATTCATGTATCTTTTTACACTAATCTGAACTGGAGTTAGGAATCGGAGTCGGAAATAAGTCGAGTAGTGTTCCAGTCGACTCGTCTTCTCTCCCTCGCTTGTCAACCAATCAAGTAATAGAATAGTTTACGTTTCTCTACCCAAGACAGTTTAAATTCGGAATCATGCATTCTAGCCTCAAGGTTAAACCAGTTAGCCTATCATTCAAGGCCTTAGCCTAGATCGATACGGGTTATCTTCTGTTTATTACTGGGTAGGCAGATCAAGGACGTAACAAAATTTATAATTATTATAACTGCCTTAGCACTAATATTTGCACTCAAATGAATGAAGTGATGGAAAATATTAACGTTGTAGTATTATTTACCAATGGTTACAATTCTTTTTAACTATGATAAGATAGAAAGAGATACCATGGGATGTTCCGTGTGACCTTCAGTTACATCCTTGGCTATCAACCTTTTGTTTGATAACTAACGCTTTATCGTACTGTTTTAAGTTGAAAGTAGAAAGTATAGGTATAACTCGTTTTCATGTTGCGTTCTAATATCTTTTCGGTTGAGACTTCAGACTATAACCGATAAATAATTATCATATCTGTTATTTTATCCATACCGGTAGTTTATAGCAATCAGTTATATCCTTATTATAGTTGACTGATTGTAGTTGTGTTGACAATGAATAGTTGCGAAATATATAAAGTGACTGGTAACACAGTAAATATATTGAATATGATGACAATATTAGATTTCATACAGATGCCATATATGAATTCCATCAACTACTGTTCTACATCGAGTTAGTAAATGCCTAAAGTTTTCATGCAAATTGTAAACTAGAACACAATAAAATGTAGAAATAAAATTGAAATTAATATAAATCCATATAAACAACTTACTTTTATTTGTAATTTTCATGTAGAATAATGTACTTCAGTTAGATTGTGCAAAATTAATCCTTTTAAATTAAGTACAATCGTGTATAATGGCATTTGTTTCTTTAAAACAAATTATTATTTTCAATTAAATAATACCAATTAAATGTTAAATGTAATCAATTGAAATAATTCTTAATACTGATTTTTTTTTTTAAATTTTGTAGATTAAAAAGATTATTCTAAATTTCCTTATTTATTGTAGCCAGTAATTAGGTGATATTTACTTTATGATAGATTACTATTAGTAAGTGAATTCAATTGGATTTGTTTTTAGTCATTTCAATTTACGAACTATGTGAAGATTGAAATGCTTTTTTTTTATCCTGTCGTCCTTGGTTTCTAAGATTTAAAATGAAATAAAGTTCATCTCTATTTATATATATATATTCGTTTATACCATCAAATAAAATAATGCAGCCTTGAAATAAGCCCAGACCAGTTTGATGGGCAAAACGTTGGAATTATTTCAATTTCTAAGTTTGTTTAAAATATAACTTGAAACATTGTTCAAACTTTATCCTTCCATCTACAGACACACATAGATGAGACACATAACAAATGTACACATAAATGATAATCCAAATTGTTAATGCATATATATTAACATACATATACACCAATCACATTTAAGTATAAACTTAGTCTGATTTGTTATTGGTTAAATATGAATTACAGTCTGATATAAATTGGTTGGAGGTAGTCAACAGGAAACCCTGGACCCGGGTTTCGTGCTACATGGCACTCGTCAGCAAGGTGTACCTGTAATCTTGAGGGAACTGGTGCTCCCTGGCGGAGTCGATCTCGTGTCACCCAGCTTCACAGTCAGAGACGTTACCACTGAGCTATCCGAGCCGTGACTAACCTCCTGTAGGACTGAGATGTAATCACAATTGATTGATCACTGGGTGGTGATCAATCTCATGCTTGTCTAGTCCTTATTAGTGCAGATCGAATGCTATCGATCATGTTGCAATGTGGCCACCAGTCTAGGTGACTCGACACTGCGGGCACTATGTATTGAGATTAGATGGTGGTTGGAGGTAGTCAACAGGAAACCCTGGACCCGGGTTTCGTGCTACTTGGCACTCGTCAGCAAGGTGTACCTGTAATCTTGAGGGAACTGGTGCTCCCTGGCGGAGTCGATCTCGTGTCACCCAGCTTCACAGTCAGAGACGTTACCACTGAGCTATCCGAGCCGTGACTAACCTCCTGTAGGACTGAGATGTAATCACAATTGATTGATCACTGGGTGGTGATCAATCTCATGCTTGTCTAGTCCTTATTAGTGCAGATCGAATGCTATCGATCATGTTGCAATGTGGCCACCAGTCTAGGTGACTCGACACTGCGGGCACTATGTATTGAGATTAGATGGTGGTTGGAGGTAGTCAACAGGAAACCCTGGACCCGGGTTTCGTGCTACTTGGCACTCGTCAGCAAGGTGTACCTGTAATCTTGAGGGAACTGGTGCTCCCTGGCGGAGTCGATCTCGTGTCACCCAGCTTCACAGTCAGAGACGTTACCACTGAGCTATCCGAGCCGTGACTAACCTCCTGTAGGACTGAGATGTAATCACAATTGATTGATCACTGGGTGGTGATCAATCTCATGCTTGTCTAGTCCTTATTAGTGCAGATCGAATGCTATCGATCATGTTGCAATGTGGCCACCAGTCTAGGTGACTCGACACTGCGGGCACTATGTATTGAGATTAGATGGTGGTTGGAGGTAGTCAACAGGAAACTCTGGACCCGGGTTTCGTGCTACATGGCACTCGTCAGCAAGGTGTACCTGTAATCTTGAGGGAACTGGTGCTCCCTGGCGGAGTCGATCTCGTGTCACCCAGCTTCACAGTCAGAGACGTTACCACTGAGCTATCCGAGCCGTGACTAACCTCCTGTAGGACTGAGATGTAATCACAATTGATTGATCACTGGGTGGTGATCAATCTCATGCTTGTCTAGTCCTTATTAGTGCAGATCGAATGCTATCGATCATGTTGCAATGTGGCCACCAGTCTAGGTGACTCGACACTGCGGGCACTATGTATTGAGATTAGATGGTGGTTGGAGGTAGTCAACAGGAAACCCTGGACCCGGGTTTCGTGCTACTTGGCACTCGTCAGCAAGGTGTACCTGTAATCTTGAGGGAACTGGTGCTCCCTGGCGGAGTCGATCTCGTGTCACCCAGCTTCACAGTCAGAGACGTTACCACTGAGCTATCCGAGCCGTGACTAACCTCCTGTAGGACTGAGATGTAATCACAATTGATTGATCACTGGGTGGTGATCAATCTCATGCTTGTCTAGTCCTTATTAGTGCAGATCGAATGCTATCGATCATGTTGCAATGTGGCCACCAGTCTAGGTGACTCGACACTGCGGGCACTATGTATTGAGATTAGATGGTGGTTGGAGGTAGTCAACAGGAAACCCTGGACCCGGGTTTCGTGCTACTTGGCACTCGTCAGCAAGGTGTACCTGTAATCTTGAGGGAACTGGTGCTCCCTGGCGGATTCGATCTCGTGTCACCCAGCTTCACAGTCAGAGACGTTACCACTGAGCTATCCGAGCCGTGACTAACCTCCTGTAGGACTGAGATGTAATCACAATTGATTGATCACTGGGTGGTGATCAATCTCATGCCTGTCTAGTCCTTATTAGTGCAGATCGAATGCTATCGATCATGTTGCAATGTGGCCACCAGTCTAGGTGACTCGACACTGCGGGCACTATGTATTGAGATTAGATGGTGGTTGGAGGTAGTCAACAGGAAACCCTGGACCCGGGTTTCGTGCTACATGGCACTCGTCAGCAAGGTGTACCTGTAATCTTGAGGGAACTGGTGCTCCCTGGCGGAGTCGATCTCGTGTCACCCAGCTTCACGTCAGAGACGTTACCACTGAGCTATCCGAGCCGTGACTAACCTCCTGTAGGACTGAGATGTAATCACAATTGATTGATCACTGGGTGGTGATCAATCTCATGCTTGTCTAGTCCTTATTAGTGCAGATCGAATGCTATCGATCATGTTGCAATGTGGCCACCAGTCTAGGTGACTCGACACTGCGGGCACTATGTATTGAGATTAGATGGTGGTTGGAGGTAGTCAACAGGAAACCCTGGACCCGGGTTTCGTGCTACTTGGCACTCGTCAGCAAGGTGTACCTGTAATCTTGAGGGAACTGGTGCTCCCTGGCGGATTCGATCTCGTGTCACCCAGCTTCACAGTCAGAGACGTTACCACTGAGCTATCCGAGCCGTGACTAACCTCCTGTAGGACTGAGATGAAATCACAATTGATTGATCACTGGGTGGTGATCAATCTCATGCTTGTCTAGTCCTTATTAGTGCAGATCGAATGCTATCGATCATGTTGCAATGTGGCCACCAGTCTAGGTGACTCGACACTGCGGGCACTATGTATTGAGATTAGATGGTGGTTGGAGGTAGTCAACAGGAAACCCTGGACCCGGGTTTCGTGCTACTTGGCACTCGTCAGCAAGGTGTACCTGTAATCTTGAGGGAACTGGTGCTCCTGGCGGAGTCGATCTCGTGTCACCCAGCTTCACAGTCAGAGACGTTACCACTGAGCTATCCGAGCCGTGACTAACCTCCTGTAGGACTGAGATGTAATCACAATTGATTGATCACTGGGTGGTGATCAATCTCATGCTTGTCTAGTCCTTATTAGTGCAGATCGAATGCTATCGATCATGTTGCAATGTGGCCACCAGTCTAGGTGACTCGACACTGCGGGCACTATGTATTGAGATTAGATGGTGGTTGGAGGTAGTCAACAGGAAACCCTGGACCCGGGTTTCGTGCTACTTGGCACTCGTCAGCAAGGTGTACCTGTAATCTTGAGGGAACTGGTGCTCCCTGGCGGAGTCGATCTCGTGTCACCCAGCTTCACAGTCAGAGACGTTACCACTGAGCTATCCGAGCCGTGACTAACCTCCTGTAGGACTGAGATGTAATCACAATTGATTGATCACTGGGTGGTGATCAATCTCATGCTTGTCTAGTCCTTATTAGTGCAGATCGAATGCTATCGATCATGTTGCAATGTGGCCACCAGTCTAGGTGACTCGACACTGCGGGCACTATGTATTGAGATTAGATGGTGGTTGGAGGTAGTCAACAGGAAACCCTGGACCCGGGTTTCGTGCTACTTGGCACTCGTCAGCAAGGTGTACCTGTAATCTTGAGGGAACTGGTGCTCCCTGGCGGATTCGATCTCGTGTCACCCAGCTTCACAGTCAGAGACGTTACCACTGAGCTATCCGAGCCGTGACTAACCTCCTGTAGGACTGAGATGTAATCACAATTGATTGATCACTGGGTGGTGATCAATCTCATGCTTGTCTAGTCCTTATTAGTGCAGATCGAATGCTATCGATCATGTTGCAATGTGGCCACCAGTCTAGGTGACTCGACACTGCGGGCACTATGTATTGAGATTAGATGGTGGTTGGAGGTAGTCAACAGGAAACCCTGGACCCGGGTTTCGTGCTACTTGGCACTCGTCAGCAAGGTGTACCTGTAATCTTGAGGGAACTGGTGCTC